CAGACAGCTGGGCAGGGCAGGTCTGACCTGCTTCCCTTGCCGGAATTCAAGAGAACTTCCCTCACGAGTGCAGACAGCTGGGCAGGGCAGGTCTGACCTGCTTCCCTTGCTGGAATTCAAGAGAACTTCCCTCACGAGTGCAGACAGCTGGGCAGGGCAGGTCTGACCTGCTTCCCTTGCTGGAATTCAAGAGAACTTCCCTCACGAGTGCAGACAGCTGGGCAGGGCAGGTCTGACCTGCTTCCCTTGCTGGAATTCAAGAGAACTTCCTCCACGAGTGCTCTGCTTTTTAACCTGTGTTCTCAGAGGCGTATCCATTGTCCCCAGTGGCCACACCAGGTGCCAATATTAAAATCTGAACACCTATTGGTCACCACAGCATATCCCAGAAAACCTACTTCCTGTCAAACCACGACATCTCCATATTGTCAGCTTACTACTAAAACTAATATAAATTCTAACTTTACAAACACATACATTATACATCCAATATACAGCTATACACAAAGGTAATAACATTCAGCAAACAGTGATTTACCTTTACACATAGGTCTCACCCAACAATCAGATCTCCCTGAGGTACACATTGTGATCTTCCACCTTTTTGTATTATCCACCATGTGCAACCTGGTCCCTGAGCAAAAAGAACCCCACAAATGGGTTTGTCTGTATTCGAGGCAGAATTAATCCAAACTGACTTCTCTAACAAACTTGTGACATGTACCACTGGGACTTTGTCTCCATCTACTCTATGCAAAGGCTTAGATTGGGCAGGGCCCACTCAGTTGTAGAGCCTCGGGTGTTAACTAACCAGGTGGCTTTTGCGAGATGCTGCTCCCTCCCAGTTTTTGAAAGATCCCCCACCCAAAGCTTTCAAGGTGATTTTTAATAGTCCCTTGTACCTCTCCACTTTGCCTGCAGCTGGTGCATGGTAGGGGATATGGTACACCAACTCAATGCCATGTTCGCTAGCCCAAGTGCTGATAAGGCTGTTCTTGAAATGAGTCCCATTGTCTGACTCAAGCCTCTCAGGGGTACCATGCCTCCAAAGGACCTGCTTTTCAAGGCCCAGGATGGTGTTCCGGGCAGTAGCATGAGACACAGGGTGGGTCTCCAACCATCCCGTGGTGGCTTCCACCATGGTCAGCACGTGGCGCTTGCCCTGGCGTGTCTGGGGCAGTGTGATGTAGCCAATCTGCCAGGCCTCCCCATACTTGTACTTGGACCACAGCCCACCATACCACAGGGGCTTCACTCGCTTGGCCTGCTTGATGGCAGCACACGTCTCACAGTCATGGATAACCTGAGAAATACCGTCCATGGTTAAATCCACCCCTCGGTCTCTTGCCCACTTATAGCTGGCATCTCTGCCCTGATGGCCTGAGGCATCATGGGCCCATCGAGTTAGGGATATCTCTCCCTTGTGTTCCCAATCTAGGTCTATCTTGGACACCCCTATCTTTGCTGCCTGGTCTACCTGTTTGTTGTTTTGGTGCTCCTCATTGGCTCTACTCTTGGGAACATGGGCATCTACATGGCGGACTTTCATAGGTAGCCTCCCTACCCTGGTAGCAATATCTTTCCACTCATCAGCAGCCCAAATTGGTTTTCCTCTACGCTGCCAGTTGGCCTCTTTCCACCTCTCCAGCCATCCCCACAGAGCATTGGCTACCATCCATGAATCAGTGTAGAGGTAGAGCTTTGGCCACTTCTCTCTCTCAGCAATGTCCAGGGCCAGCTGAACAGCTTTGAGTTCTGCAAGTTGGCTTGATCCACCTTCTCCTTCAGTGGCCTCTGCGACCTGTCCTGTGGGGCTCCATACGGCTGCTTTCCACTTTTGTTTCATTCCCACAATGTGGCAAGAACCATCAGTAAAAAGAGCGTATCGTGTATCTTCTGCTGGCAGTTGATTGTATGGTGGAGCTTCTTCAGCCCGTGTCACTTCTTGTTCCCCTTCATCAGTGAGACCGAAGTTTTCACCTTCTGGCCAGTTTGTAATTATTTCCAGAATCCCAGAGCAATTCACTTTACCTATACGGGCGCACTGGGTGATAATAGCAATCCATTTGCTTCATGTGGCACCGGTGGCATGGTGAGTGGAAGGAACCTTGCCTTTGAACATCCACCCCAGCACCGGCAGTCGGGGTGCCAGGAGGAGTTGCGCTTCTGTATCAATCACCTCTGAGGTGGCTTGGACTCCTTCATAGGCAGCCAAGATTTCTTTCTCTGTTGGAGTGTAGTTGGCTTCAGAGCCTCTGTAGCTTCAACTCCAAAATCCCAGTGGTCGACCCCGAGTATCCCCAGGCACCTTCTGCCAAAGGCTCCAGGACAAACCATGGTTCCTGGCTGCAGAGTAGAGCATGTTCTTCATATCTGGTGCCATCCTGACCAGGCCAAGAGCTACTGCATGAGCGATCTCCTGCTGGATCTGGACAAAGGCTTGTTGCTGCTCAGGGCCCCAGTGGAAAGTGTTCTTCTTGCGGGTGACCAGGTAAAGAGGGCTCACGATCTGACTATACTCAGCAATGTGCATCCTCCAAAAGCCTATGGCACCTAGGAAAGCTTGTGTCTCCTTCTTATTGGTTGGTGGAGACACAGCTGTGATCTTGTTGATGACGTCTGTAGGAATCTGACCCTGTCCATCTTGCCACTTCACTCCCAGGAACTGAATCTCATGAGCTGGTCCCTTTACTTTGCTCTTTTTAATGGCAAAACCAGCTCCCAGGAGGATTTGGATGATTTTCTCTCCTTTCTCAAACACTTCCACGGCTGTGTTCCCCCACACAATGATGTCATCAATATACTGTAGGTGTTCTGGAGCCTCACCCTTTTCCAGTGCAGCCTGGATCAGTCCATGGCAGATGGTGGGACTGTGCTTCCACCCCTGGGGCAGCCGGTTCCAGGTGTACTGCACTTCCCTCCACGTGAAAGCAAACTGAGGCCTGCATTCTGCTGCCAGAGGAATGGAGAAAAATGCATTGGCAATATCAGTCATGGCGTACCACCTCGCTGCCTTGAACTCAAGCTCATACTGGAGTTCTAATATGTCTGGCACAGCAGCGCTCAGTGGTGGAGTCACTTCATTCAATGCACAGTCCACAACAGTCAATCTCCATTCCCCTTCAGATTTACACACAGGCCAAATGGGGCTGTTGAAGGGTGAGTGGGTTTTACTGACCACCCCTTGGCTCTCCAGCTCTCGGATCATCTTATGGATGGGAATCACAGCATCTTGAGTGGTTCTATACTGTTGACGATGAACTGTGGAAGTGGCAATTGGCACCTGTTGCTCTTCTCCCCTCAGGTGTCCTACTGCAGATGGATTCTCAGACAGCCCAGGCAAGGTGTTCAATTGCTGGATGCCCTCTGTCTCTACAGCAGCTATCCCAAATGCCCACCTGATTCCCTTTGGGTCTTTGAAAGACCCTCTTTGGAGGTAATCTATGCCCAAAATACATGGGGCCTCTGGGCCAGTCACAATAGGATGTTTCTTCCACTCATTTCCAGTCAGGCTCACATCAGCTTCCACCAAAGTGAAATCCTGGGATCCCCCTGGCACACCAGCAATAGAAACAGACTCTGTCCCTACATGTCTCAATGGAATTAATGTACCTTGAGCACCAGTATCAACCAAAGCTTTATACTATTGTGGTTCCGATGTGCCAGGCCAACGAATCCACACAGACCAGAAAACACGATTTTCCCTAGCCTCTACCTGGCTAGAGGCAGGGCCCCTCTAAGCCTGGTTATCCTTCTTTCCCTGGGCATATGTCTTGGATGTTCCTTCAAGGGGATTGGACATGTCATCATCAGCATCATACCTGGCAGCTCGGCTATGGGCAACTGGAGCTGCTTTCCTTTTGGTGGAACTCCCTCTCTTAGCCCTGTCTTCCTTCAATTCACGCACCTGTTGTGCCAGAACAGCAGTAGGTTTTCTACCCCACCTCCTCATGTTTTCTCCACAGTCATGCAGGTAGAACCACAGCTCTGTTCGTGGGGTGTACCTTCTCTCGCCATCTGGGGAACATCTGCGTTGGGCACCAGAACCTGTGATCTGTACTGCTGAAATTTGGAGAAGGTCTTCTTTAATCTCCTCTCTGAGCTTCTTATGATTCTCCTCTATCTTGTCCTCTAAGTTCTGCAGACATGTTTCTACCGCTGCAATTCTGGCATGTGTTGGGCCATGCACAGCATCTGCATATGCTTGGAGCTTCTTTGCCATATCAAGCACGGTCTCATCCCTCTCATCCCTCTTCATTATGGCTAAGGCAGAAGCATATTCATGTGGCCCAAGTCGCACAAGTTTTCACCACATCACAGACACGCATGGCACCAAGTCTGGATTCCTAGTTGTTATGTCATCTGAGAAGATCATCTCTGCCACTGCCATCTCTCTAAGGCCTTGGATCCCTTGCTCTATGGTCTTCCACTGTGTTTGTTGCACATAAAGATCATCTGCACACAGGTATCTTTGTGCTACACTTTCCAAGAGCCGTGCCCAGAGACTGTGAGGGTTTTCCCCCCTCATCATTCCTTGGTCGATGACAGGATCATGTGACAGGGATCCCAAATGCCTCACTTCAGTGCCATCCAGAATTGTAGCCTCACCTGCAGCATCCCAGAGACGGACTAACCAACAAATTATGGATTCATCAGGTCGTCGAGTGTAATCCTTCCATAGGCCACGAAGGGCTTCAAGGAAAAGGACTCAATATTGGCTTCTGATCTTGTGCCTGCTGCTTTGACTCCTGATTTTACATCAGGAAGCATTGAGGGTCCTCCTCCTGTATCATCATCACCATCATCCACTGGTCGATCGGTCTTGTCCATGCACTTTCCACTTCTAGTGTTGGTAGCAACAGCCATTGGTTGAGGCTTATTGTCTGGTTTAGCTGCTGGCTCAGGCTCACTATCTGGTTTGGCTGCTGGCTTCGAGCCTGGGCTGTTGGCTGCAGCCTGAGAGACTGGGATAGCTGCTGATTTATCTCCCTGCCCCTCTGCCTCTGTCTGCTGCCCGACAGTATCTAGCAATGTGCGATAAGCACAAGCCAGGGCCCGGCTCACTGCAATGATCTTTTCCTCCTTAGGGTCATCCTGCTACTTCTCTTTCAGGTATTTCCTCACCTCAGCTGGGTTCTGAATTTGTTCATGGGGAAAGTCCCAGACTATAGGGTCAGAGAATTCCTTCAGGATTTGGCCCATATCCTCCCATTTCCCACACCACTCACGATTTTCCACACCTGGGTCTACTCCTGGGTCAGGGGTCTCATCAGCCCATCTAGAAATCTCAGCCCTCATTCTGGAGAAGCAGCAGACTGTATAGAGGAAGCTTACCAGATTGAATACCAGAAAGATGGTCTCAAACATTCAGGGTAAACTGAACATTCTCCAATAGCGATGTAAGAGATTCAGAGGAGAAAAAGGAAAGCAAAGGCTGAAAAGCCACATCCCCTGCTCCTCCTCTAACAAACTGGGAGCATAACCATAGCCACGAGCCATTCATACCTGGAGCAGACCCCAGCATGTTTATAAACTTCTTACAAATCATTACCACCAAGCCCAGCAGGAGAGCTATTCTGGTCACTGCTCCTCTGCTGTAAAAACTATGTATTAGGGACAATGCTAGAGCTATTTCTGGATAAGAAAATAAACCTAGGGACCATAGAGGTATTAAGATCTTAAAAAACCCTAGGGACTAGAAATGCATGCAAGCCTTCACCCCAAGAGACATTATGAATTCAAGAAGCATGGCTATTAATTGCTTTATACCAACACAGAGTAATGGCAACCAAAATGCACTCAAAACAGGGTTTTTTCCACTCTCTCTCGAATCCCACGCGTTGGGCGCCAAATTTTGTCCTGGTTTAGGGGCAAATTTGGGAGAAAACCTCCAAAGGGAGCCCCTCCAGAAAGCAAACCCACACGGCCCCTCCCCACAACCGGGTCGGGAAGGATTCCTTGGAGAGAAGTGGAAAGAACCCGTTTATTTAACAGGCACAGCACCCCCCAGCACACAAAAGGATCAATACCAGGTGACACCACTCTTTCACCGCTCTGAAATGATGACAAATTCAGAAAGTCCCTCTTGGGGGTGGTCGCTCTGTTCTCAGTCCGTCCTGTGCTGGGGCAGCTGCTGCAGCCACAAGGTGCAAACTCTCGGTGTTTCCCAGGTCCCAGTCCGAAGCATGTTCAAGTGGGTCCAAAAAAGGAAAAGGAGAAACAGCCCAGGGAAAATTTAGACTGCTTAGCTAAACTAACTAATGAGTAGAAGCAAAAAGCAAGAGCAAAGCAGGAGCAAAGCAGAAGCAAGAGCAAAGCAAAAAGCCAAGCAAAAGCAGCACCCATGTACTGCCCTGTCTGTGTGTCCTGCCAGCCGTGGGGGAGCGGCTGATAGCAAAACCAAAACAAAACATTCGCTCTTCACAGCCAGTCTTGAAGGCACAGAACATGATATACAGCATAAACAGATGGGGATGGGGATACAAGCATCATAACATCACCCTAGGACAATAACAAAGTTTGCTTTAGTCCAAAATGCTGTTGAGTTTCAAAAGAAAGTCTTTATCATAGACTCACAGCTGCAAAAATACACATTAACAACTACAAGATATTTAAGGACAGAAAAGTGTGTTTGAAAATAATATAGTCCTATTTTATACTTTTCTCAGTAAAAAGATTTGAGAGAAACAGTGTTGAAGCCAACAAAATAACATTATTGAACCCAACTCTGCTCTTTAAGGTGATCTTCAGTAAAAAACTTTACACAGAAACATACAGAAATGTATTTTATAGTAATTTTCCCTTCCCAAAAGGCCTCTGGTGTTCCTGCATGGCTTAGGAAAGCAGTAAGAAGTCTTTAGTTCTCACAGAAAATGTGCAATGACTTTTGGTTTTTGCTATCTCAACCTTTGTACAAAGGATGCTAAATCCCAAAGGAGAGAGTGATTTCAGCATTGCCTTGGGCCCTTTCTTTAATGCTGGTACAGTTCTAAAAGCCCTACTTTGATGGGACAGAAGAACCAAGAGAAAAGAAAAGGTACAGGAGAGAAAAAAAGGTGTCACAAAAGCGCAGGAGGGAGGGGGAGAGGTAGGACAGGGAGGATCCAGGACACACAAAACAGAGTTGCGGCCCAGGGCCTGGGACTGGCTGCAACTCCAGCTGTCAGTGCTGCTTCTTCTCCTTCAGCCTCCCTTCCTGCTCAGCATCTCAGGGGGCTCGCCTATCCTCCACCTAAGAACAACCTGAACACTAAGAATAATTAGAATAGGCAAAGCTGTGGCTTAAATATTACTTTGAAATGAAGAGCTGGAGTGCACAGCCCAAAGATCATGGGCTACCACATCTGGGTTTGCAGTCCTGCAAACCAAGACTTTCTCTCCTACAGAAACTCCTCCCAATACTGAGCAGCTTTGCCTAAACAAGGATTTGAGGACTCTGCCACATTACAATACACTATATATCCTTTTTCACTGTATCCAATACAGCAAAACTGGCATCTTCCACCTCTCCTAAAAACCAGAGACACAACAGCACAGTGCCTTAGGACATGCCAGGAACGTGAGGCAATCTAAGGGATGGCAGTGGGTGTGTCTGCATCAGCAGAGCCCCACTGAGTCCTGCCCTGCTGCTCCCGAAGCTTTCCAGTTCCCTTCAGCCTAGGGCCAGAGAGCTTCCAGTTCCAGAGAATGTCCCAGTACTGGGACAGCTCCAAGTCCCAGTTCTGCTGCTCCCAGTCCCAGACACCTTCCTGTATTTGTGTATGAAAGCATCAGTCTTGCCCAGGCTAACAGCATAAACACCCTCTGGCAGCAGAGACCCAAAATGTCTGCTGAGAATGGCTTCTCCACCCCTCTGGGCCAAGGAGGAGGAATTCCCATCCACACTCAGGGCTGCTCTGCTGTCAGAGGCCTCAGCAGGGTCACCTCCAGCACACCTGGTCAAACCATCCATGGCCTGTGCAGGGGCCTCAGCAGGGTCACCTCCAGCACACCTGGTCGAACCATCCATGGCCTGTGCTCCACTGTCACTGTCAGCAGAGGCCTCAGCAGGGCCACCTCCAGCACTCCTGGTCAAACCATCCATGCGTCTGTGGAGCTCCTGGCTCAGCAGCAACACCAGGGTCCCTCCAACTCGAAGCACTCTGGCAATCACAGGAAAAAGAAAGTTTAGGTGTTGATCCCTCACTGCTGATGCTTCAGGTGCCACCTGCATTCAGTGAAACACCCAAGTGTGTCACGGCTCAAGTCAGTGAGCTGCACCTCCAAGAGGAGTTTAAATCCCTGATCTTCTTACCTCTTTCTAAATGGCAGAACAGGGCCTTCCTTGTCCTGACTCCAAAACATTTTTGATGTTAGCAGTTCTTTCTGTTGGGTTAGCAGGGAAGAGGGACTGACTTTTTACTCCCCTCAGCACTTTTTCAGGGATCAAGGGCACCATCAAGCCCACAGTTTTTGGAGATTGCAAAGGAACAGCTTCCCAGTGCAGCAAGGGCTGCTCAGATTAGCATGGTAATTCTGAAACTGGTCCTTCCTTTTGGAAACTTCGAAAAACAGCCTTTTGGAACTTTTCCTGTTCCACTGATCCTTAATGGCTTTCAAACTCAGGAAGCAGAAGCAAATTAATAAATGTTTGCAATTAATTTTTCTAGGTATATGTCTAAACATTACATATGGCTTTGAAAGAAGGGAAAAAGAAATACTGTCCTGATTCAGTTTACAGCAAGTAGTTTGAACAGCTTTACTGGTGGGGCTCTCATGGCCCCTTCCTCATCTCCACCTTCCTAAGGGAATATTTTACTCAGGATGGACCAATAGAGCAAATAAGGCCAGAAAACAAGTTGCACAGTGAGATTGCCACACCATTCTGTGGAGCCACGCAACCTTCTCCATCACCTTCCCACCACATTCCTGCACTGGCTGAGATCAACACCTGCTGAAGAGCAGTCCTAGAGAAAGGGCTTCTTTGCAGGCAAGAAGTAGAGGGGAGGATGGCTTGACCTGTCTGTTAGAAGCAGCCCAGCTATCAGCTTGGCCCAACTCTGCCACCAAAGGTGTGACAGATGAAAGGACACACCTAAAACCAGCCCAGGCTGCTAGTGAGGCATTCCTGGACAGCAAGGACAATGCATGCCCCTTCTTCTAGTCTGAGATCCTTCCTGCCAAGGCAGGCTGGCCAAAGCTGGGCTGTGACCTCAAAAAGGAAAGACTATGCATTTATACAAGCAGGCCTCAATTAGAAAAGGATTACAGCTTTATTTGCCTGGCCATGCTTTAACTTTGTCCAGGTAGGCCTCTCCTCTTTCTCCTTTCTGCCACACTGGAGTGTGGCTCAGAAACATTTCCCCTCATGCCTTGCAAAGAGCATTTGTGAGCATGGCTCACACAGGAGCCTCCCTCGGCAGCTGCCACTGGCACTCAGAGCTGGTGAGACACAACAAACAGCCTCCAGGGGACAAGTAAAGGGCTGAGACCTCCACAGCCTGTACAGGATCACACTACAGAGCTGCAGACTATGGAACAAAGCAGATCTGAAGCTGGCTGAATGCTCGGATCACAAACCACCATGGCACTTCCATCAAACCCTGAGCATGCCAAAGGCCACACGTACCTTTCCATTTCCTGGAGAAGATCTGGTAGGAGCTGGGCATCACTCATGGTCTTGAACTTCTTCCCAAACGGAATATCTGAAATAACGCTGTCAAAGCTTTCTGAAGGCAATGGCAGCGCTGCAGAATAAAGGCAGGTCTTTATTTATCTCTGACTCTGTGAAAAATGCACAGCAGCTCTGCCCCTGTTCCCCCTTCAACACTGCCTGCCAGCTCTTTCTGGGCTATGCACATTCATACAATCCACATTTTGGATTATGCAGATTCACAGCTCCTTCTGCACTTGCCCTCCACCATGGAGACACCACCCCTCTGCAGACTGGGAGGAGACAAATGTGTGGGATCACCCTTCAGCCTGCAGAGTCTCTGCTCCTGAGGATGTCTGCCTCTGCAGCAAGACTCTCCCCTAAGGCACTGCATGGTCCCAAATGAACTGCTGCCTCTCGACACCCAGTACACCTTAAACATGAAAATCATTGAGCAAAACACAAAAGAAGAGCTACGTTTGTGAGCACTTTACTCAGTGCAAATGTTCTAGTGCACGTGTATGAATGGCAAGGAGCCACCTCCAATTCTTCTCCATGCCCCTTTTCTCCCCTCAGGAATCTGGTTACAGCCAGAATCACACAGATTCTGTCAGAGCTAATGCCTTTGAAGGGTCACCTTAGAGCTTCTGCATCCCAGCCAAGGTCAGCTCCCCTAAGGAAGATGAAGCACTGTGCCTGTGGTGATGAAGGCTGGCCATGTGCCAGTCACTGCAGGCCAGCTGAGACCCCTCCTCAGACTCCAGGGGTCCTTCCATCATGTGCCAGGCTGGGCAGGCCAGGCTGAGATCCCTCCTCAGACCCTGGGGAATCCTCCATCCTGTGCCAGGCTGTGATTCCAGAGATCCTCCATCCCATGCCAGGCTGTTCAGGCCAGCTGAGACCCCTCCTGAGACCCTGAGGGTCCCTCCATCCTGTACCAGGCTGTGCAGGCCAGGCTGAGATTCCAGGGGTCCCTCCATCCTGTACCAGGCTGTGCAGGCCAGGCTGAGATTCCAGGGGTCCCTCCATCCCGTGCCAGGCTGTGCAGGCCAGGCTGGAATCCCGGGAATCCTCCATCCCATGCCAGGCTGTGCAGACCAGACTGGAATCCTGGGAATCCTCCATCCCGTGCCAGGCTGTGCAGCCAGGCTGGGATCCCAGGGGTCCCTCCATCCCGTGCCAGGCTGTGCAGACCAGACTGGAATCCTGGGAATCCTCCATCCCGTGCCAGGCTGTGCAGCCAGGCTGGGATCCCAGGGGTCCCTCCATCCCGTGCCAGGCTGTGCAGGCCAGCAGGCCTGGGCCCGGCACAGACCTTGGGGGTCCCTCCATCCCGTGCCAGGCTGTGCAGCCAGGCTGGAATCCCAGGAATCCTCCATCCTGTGCCAGGCTGGGATCCCTCAATCCCGTGCCAGGCTGTGCAGCCAGGCTGGGATCCCGGGAATCCTCCATCCTATGCCAGGCTGTGCAGCCAGGCTGGGATCCCTCCATTCCGTGCCAGGCTGTGCAGACCAGGCTGGGATCCCTCCATTCCGTGCCAGGCTGTGCAGACCAGGCTGGGATCCCTCCATTCCGTGCCAGGCTGTGCAGACCAGGCTGGGATCCCTCCATTCCGTGCCAGGCTGTGCAGCCAGGCTGAGATTCCACAGATCCTCCAACCTGTGCCAGGCTGGGCAGCCCAGCAGGCCTGGGCCCTGCACAGACCCTGGGGTCCTCCATCCCTCAGGGTGCTCCAAACTCACTGGACACGGCCTCGAGCAGACAGCAGGACTAAAGACTTCCAACAGCCCCTCCTCACCTAAACTCTGCTGAGATTCTATGCCAACTTTTCCACAACTAGCTGGAGATGTTTCCTGGAGCATTCTTGTGTCAACACTTGCAGCACAACAACTGGGTATCAATTTTATCTGCAAATGAAAGGACATCCCACCTACAGCCCTGCTCAAGACATGCAGAAGTGACAGCTCCTGACCAGTGATGGAGACACCAACTTGCTCAGTTTAGAAAACCTGACAGCTCAGTACCTTCCATTATCCTACAAACCAAAGTCAAACACATCTTTTAAGTGAGAAATAAACCTACATTTTTATAAAAAAATCAATAATGTTTCTTACCATTCCAGTAAGAAATAAATACTGCAAGGTAAAAAATCATGCACACTTCATCACTCATGCACAGGGAAACTCAGCCAGCTTGGCTGTCATGGATTTCATACAGGCATAATTTAGCCTCAGACTCTGACATCCAGAATAAGGTCATGAAATTATTTCCTTCTCTACAGAATAGCTTGTAAAATAAGAGCAAACAGACTCCTTCTTACAGGAGAAGGGAACCATCATTCAAAATACTCCTACTGCAAAACATGAACAATTCAGCTCAGTTTAATGTGTCCTCACCAATACTCACCTGGTAGATTTAACTTACAGGCTGCACTTCATTTGGATTTGTCCTGGCTGTGTTCCACTAAGATACAAAGAACTCTCACATGGTACATACTCTTTATGGTATTGTGGTAAATCACACATTTACCATGAAGAGAGACAACTACTGTCCATGGCAGACAAGTGTAATTTTTCTTGTCTTCTGCTGACTTCATTCTTACCAAAGTTACAGGTGCAGGCAGCAGGGAGGAAGTACAAATAATTATCCTTTCACTAGCACCAGAGTCACCACCCAGCTATTTGTTGGGAGTTAGCTCTGCAACGTAGCACCTCAGGAGAACCTACCTGTACAATCCCAGAAACACAAAAAATCCATCTGGAAATCCCACAGACATACCTGTCACAGAAACTTTCAGCAGCTCAATCTTATCCACCAAGCCTGCAGCTCTGATATTGCCATCTGCACCCTCTAACTGCGAGTCACTTATATCAGCACCCCAGTACCAGGCTTCCTGTCCAGAGAGACAGAAAAGTAATTTTGTGAACACTCCAGTTCTTTACTTCATAAACCCTTCTCGAACTGCCTTGTTGCACAGCTCTTGCAAGATAACCCCCTTCCTGGGACATCTGCTGTTGTTACACAAACCAATTCACAATCCAGAGGATGGAGGAATGGAGGAAGCGTGTGCTGTCTCCACTCTTTCAATGTTCAGAAATATTAATGATCGGAGAAGTATGTGCTGTCTCCACTCTTTCAATGTTCAGAAATATTAATGATCACAAGTATGTGCTGTCTCCACTCCTTTAATGCTCTGGTCTGCTCAAGACCCTTGAAGTGAGAGAAACACCCAGAGCATGTCCTAATAGCACAATGCCAGCTAGGTACAGCCAGGCCCCTGCCCCTAATGCTGATGACTGTGCCATGACACCGACTCCTCTGACCCCAGGACAAGCCCAGGAAGCTTCACAAGCTCATGGCTGCCTCACACAAACCCTGCAGTGGGAATCACCATCTGCACCAGCCTGCAGGACACATACGTCTGGAGGAACCTTTGTACTGAAATGCTTCTAGCAGCTGCCTAGAAAGATTGGTTTGGTTTCACCTCTCCAGGCAGCAATGGGCTTTGGCCTATCTGGCAGAGAGAAAACCCTGTCCCACAAGCACCAGTTTCCCTGCAGAGGTCCAGCAGCTGGGGCTGGGATACTCACAGGCCACTCCTTGGCAGCCTCCAGCAGGATGGTTCCTAGCCCACACATGGGATCCAGCACAAGGGCACCAGCCTACAAAAACAGAGGGGTTACTGCATCCCCAGCAAGACAGACTCCTCAGCCAGGACAGAGCTTACAGAGGGATGTGCATAATCCCACTGAACCCAGCACAGGTTAACAAGAATCTCTGGTAATCCGTGGCCAAACTTGCCTGTAAGGGAATATAGTGAAAAACACCAATAGCTTCACTGCAGACAGCCCTGAGGAGACATTCAGGAGGAAATATTACAAGTGGACTGCAGACAGATATTGGTACCACTGTGAAAAGAGATCACATTTCCTTGGAAAACAACACCAAACAATGTTTCATTTTTTCACTGTCACAGAACAGCAGAAAAAGTCTTACCACTTAGACATCTGTATCTGTACAAGGATTACCAGCCCTGTTGAGAAGCACCTGGAGTTACAGCAGACACCTGGCTGAACTGCAGGTGACAGCACATTCATCACAGGCACGGCAGACCCTGTCCACAGGGACTAGGGAATGGGGCATTGAAATCACCTCACTCCTCCCCAGTAAATGGAGCACTGAAATCACCCCAATCCTTCCCAGTAAATGGAGCACTGAAATCACCCCAATCCTTCCCAGTAAATGGAGCACTGAAATCACCCCACTCCTTCCCAGTAAATGGAGCACTGAAATCACCCCAATCCTTCCCAGTGAATGGGGCACTGAAATCACCCCAATCCTTCCCAGTAAATGGGGCACTGAAATCACCCCACTCCTTCCCAGTGAATGGGGCACTGAAATCACCCCACTCCTCCCCAGTAAATGGGGCATTGAAATCATCCCAATCCTTCCCAGTAAATGGGGCATTGAAATCACCCCAATCCTCCCCAGTGAATGGGGCACTGAAATCACCTCACTCCTTCCCAGTAAATGGAGCACTGAAATCACCCCACTCCTTCCCGGTAAATGGGGCACTGAAATCACCCCACTCCTTCCCAGTAAATGGAGCACTGAAATCACCCCACTCCTTCCCGGTAAATGGGGCACTGAAATCACCCCACTCCTTCCCAGTGAATGGGGAGAAGGGGGCACTGAAACCACCGCACTCCTCCCCAGCCCCAGACCCCATGAGCAGCACCCATTCCCTTAATTCAGGACCCATTTCTTCGCAAAGAACATTCACTGACCCTGATTTCAGCCAGAGATGCCATGGCCCATGCCACTGTTGACCGCAGTCCTGCTGTTCTGATATACTCTCTGTTTGCCAATGGAAGCCTGCAGACAGCAAAAAACCAAAAAAGTTTACTAAAACAGCAGCAAAACCACCCAGAAAAGCCCATGTGATATCAAAGAACAAATGAATTGGACAGATCTCCTGAGAGACAGAGAAGTCTGTTTTTAACCATAACTCACTGCAAAGTCTGGTCTGTGTGTTCATTTAAAGCCCAGGCAGATCACAAGACTAATTTGACAACAGTGATTATCAAACCAAAAGATAAATACTCATGGTGGATAGCAAGATTTACAAATCCTGTCTGTTCTGATACTGCCATGACAAATCCAGTGGGGAAAACACTTACCTGAAAAGAGGAATCCCCACCACAGAGTGAATGTCATTAAGGTGTACAAAGATCTAGAAGAGGAAAAAAAAACAACCCCAACATTTTAAAGTCTCAAACTTACATAATAATAGCTTTAACTCATTTAAACCAGAATAGATGCTTCTACAGCTTCTGATTTCAGTTTTTAAGAACAAAAATGTATACTATAAACAATAACAATTAATTGGAAGAAATCCTACTAGATGTCTAGATCTGAATGCCACTGTACAGATAATTTAATGCTTTATCAAGCTGAGGGGTATTTTGTCAGCCAGGAATCCATCAGCAAGCACTTGAATTTATAAAGGGGCCTATTTTTCCTTAACACAGCATAGGAATTTTTAGTTATAAATCCATTTACTACAAGTGGGAGAATATTATTCACTGTATACTAGCAACAAAACAATAAACATTAAAAAAAACACCAACTAAACAAAAAAACGCCAAACAAAAACATCAAACAAAAAACCCCAAACAAACAACAACAAGCAGTTATAGGCAGCTACAAGAAATTGCTCTGCTGTCCCATAGAGAACATCCCAAAAGAAGACTGAGCTCCCCAGAAGGTCTCGCATGACTGCAATCCCTGCCCCCAGGAAGCACAAAGGGAAACAGGATGCTGCTGGAAAATCCCAGTCCTCAGCACCTGAACAGCTTCAGAGCAAAAATCTGGGCAAGAACAGGAGGTGCACGTGAGCCTCACCAAAGCTGTACACAGTGCTGAGTGTGGGCACCAGTGCCAGGAAATGAACTCCAGAGTTTCTGCACGTCTGGGATCTCTGGGCATCAGAGCTGAGAGCAACTTCCACAAGCCAAGGGCAGGGATGGACAAACATCCTTGGAGAAACACTCCTTGTCAGGAGCCAGGAGTCCTCTGGGAGGTCTCCAGGCAGCTGCACCAGCAAGGGTGCACCAAGGGAACTGTCTGCTGTTTGTGTGGGAGCCTTCCCACAGGCCTTGTCTGTGATATTCTCCAGTCCAGCTCCTTGAGAACCCATGCTGCCTGCTCCTTTCCCCTCCAGAGGACACAGACACTCCCTGGCTCAGCTGAGTTCCATTTTCACACAGTCAGAGCCCAGCAGCCTGTGAGGGTGTTGGATCCTGCAACTCCTCCTCTGGGGATCCTTTCACAGACACCCCCTGGCTCAGATGAGTTCCATTTTCACAGAGTCAGAGCCCAGCAGTCTGCTGATCTGGCTGGATCCTCTGGGGATCCTTCCCCTCCCACGCAGGCAGCCCCAGCCAGGCTGGGGTTCATGCCAGGGCTCTGGAAGGCACACACAGAGCAGGGCCACACACGTGCTGATTTTCAGGTAAATCCAGCAGCAGGAAGACCAGCAGGGACATGCTGGTCATGCATGGTCCCACATGCAGAGGGAGCAGAGAACCAAAGCAGAGGTGTCAGGGTGAGTCTGGAAGCACCCACAGGCACACAAGCAGCCCTACCTCCAGGTCAGGGTCCCGCAGATCTGCACGCCACCCGCACTGCTTCACCAGCGCCGTGCCAAGGGCTCTGCCGACCTCCTGCGAGGGGAGAACAGTCACAGGCACAGAAACCACACAGCTGGGGAAACTGCAGAGCACAGGCACAGAAACCACACAGCTGGGGAAACTGCAGAGCACAGGCACGAGAAAACACACAGCTGAGGAAACTGCAGAGCACAGGCACAAAAAACACACAGCTGGGGAAACTGCAGAGCACAGGCACAAAAAACACACAGCTGGGGGACCTGCAGAGCACAGGCACAGAAACACCACACAGCTGGGGAAACTGCAGAGCACAGGCACAAAAAACACACAGCTGGGGAAACTGCAGAGCACAGGCACAAAAAACACACAGCTGGGGGACCTGCAGAGCACAGGCACAGAAACACCACACAGCTGGGGAAACTGCAGAGAACAGCCTGGAAGCACAACCCTCAGAAATCCCAGGGAAGAGTCTATGCCAAAGAGAGTAACTCACACAACTCACAGCAGAAGAGGTACAACAGGGCAGAGCAGGTGAGTGAGGGGCAAAGCAAACATAGCACAAGGCAAACAACCAATGCTCAGCTGCAGCAGGAGAGGAGAAGCTGAAGTTCCAGTCCTGACCAAGTCACAATAAAACAGTGACTTGAGCTGGACTTGATCCTTGTGGGTCCCTTCCAACTCAGAATATTCTGTGACTGCCACCATTTTGGAATTCTTAATCACATGCAAAAAATACTTCCAATGGCTCTAAGGCAGATTACCCAACAGAAAACCTGCAAGTACACAACTACAACTCACAGTTTTAATGCTTTCATTACATATAGAATGCTCTGATTACCTTCAGAGTATAGGTTCAAACACAGCACAGATTTAGGCAAACACTTCCCTTGTAGGGCAGCTCATGTGACTGACCTCACCAAGGTACTAGCTTTAATAGGAAAAAAATCTAAATACTGACACCTTCCTGTAAGAGTAACCTGCCCAGATGGGAAGAGGGCTGAATGGAACACACCCCTGCAGGACTGCATGCCACTATTCTTTCCCAAGGACCAAGCTCCACTTCTCCCAAGACTCCCAGGGCTGTATTCCTGAAGAACAAATTCTCCCCAATACCCAGCCAGAGGCAACTGAAGCTGTGAGTTCTGGCTTTTACCCCTCTGTCCAGGCTGCACAACTGAGAGGAGTCTGGCCCCACAGTCCTTGCAATGGCCCTTCAAATAGCTGTAAATTATCCAATCACTCCTCGGCCTCCACAGGCCCAGAACCTCAAACTCTTACCTTTGCTTGTCCTCAACAAAAGGTATTGATTTGAAAAACATGAAGGGTAACAGTGCACAGAAATCAAAACCAGCATTTGTGTTTCCACTTGTTTAAGGTGAATGTAGGTTAACAGCTTTTTGAGAAAATACAGAAAAAACTTACATCAGTTTATTATTCTAGAAGACACAACACAACTGAAATGACAAAGTACACATCTCTATTCACCCTTGCTGGATTCTTTTAAAGCAGGTACCTCAGCATACCTGTGAAGTCAGTATTCTGGCAATTGCTCCACTGCAGCGACACGACACTCTGAAGCTGAAGCCAAGCTCCTCATTGGCAGCAGGATCCTCTCCACTGCCCCTGGAAGGCAATTCTGAGCAAGTCCTGCTCTCAGCCCAGCACTCCTGCCTGCTCATTCTGGCTGGTGCCTCACAGGTCTCTCCAGCTCCCACCTGACACTCCTCAGACACAATTGCCCTCACTTGTTCCGTTTTTTGCCTTTTACTTGCAGTATTTGTCTCTTCTTCTGACTTTCTCTTCAGAGCCAATGCATTTTCTATAGAGCCATTATCTGTTTTCCCCTCGTGTCCATGAAGCTTTCTCCAAACAGAGATAATATCCAGCCAGTATTTTGGGTCCTCAATAACAAGGCTTTTAATCTCATGAAGCATTTTCCCTGGAAGAAAAAAGCAGTTTTGAGTTAAGTACCTCAGCCTTGGCATTTCACTTCCCTGTGTTCAGATTTCATTCATGTGTGAGTTCAGAATCACAGGCACAGCTGAGCTCTCAGCACCCACCAGGAGCCACACAGGCACCCCTCTGATTACCAGCTCTGCAGAACCAAGACCAAATCACGCAAGGGTTGAGTTCTGCACAAGAACTCAGCAGCTGTAGAAAGCCAGAGCACCTGTGAGGCAGAACACTCTCCAGAATTGAAAGACAGATACAAACATGAATTACTTTGAGTCATCTCAGGCAGAAACAAGTTTATTCTTTCAAAAAGAAAATTTCTGCCTCCCATTCATCACCGTGCCTTCAATCCTGCAACACACACCTACACGTGTGGGCAGTCCCAAGCTACCCACAAGAGAGGCATGAGGAACAGAGAGGCCAATTCACTTAAATACATCAAAGCTGGTCAAGGAAAAAAAAATAAAGGTCTTTCTAGTTATCACTTAAAAACTTAGACTCATGATCAAATTTCATCCTCAAAGCCAAAGGTAATCTCCCAGATAAACATCAATCCATCTAACTTGAAATTCTCACTCCAGCTCTGACAGAGAGCACGACCCAAGCAGCTGATACTTAGAAGGAAGCTGTGTACTTAGGACTAAATTGACACAATATATAGATTGGGATTCACTTTGTTTAACAGAAAATAAGACTTCTTGTTAAAATAAACACAAGAGAGCCAAGGCTGAACTTCGGTTTTCGGGTGGGGTATTATTCTCTTTTTTGGGGCTGGGTGGGGGAAAAAGTCTCTAAAATACACGTATACACTCAGTGCAGGCAGAATACAGGCTGCAAGGTAGCTATTGAAAACAATTTAAAAGCCCTTTTCAGGGCTGAAAGACACTTTAGAATTGATTATTGTCAATTAGAACTACAGCCACCCGTAAAAAACTACACACTTCAAATGTTATAACCAGGACTCAAACCAAGGCTTCCCGTGTCCGTACCTCTGTTCCCGGACACCGGCAGCGGGCTGTGCTTCTTCAGCAGCAGGAACAGGCGCTCCCCCGACCGCAGATGCCGCAGCTTTCCGGGCCCCGCCACCGCCCTGAAGAACACTTTTCCCGAGACGCAGTCCACCTCCGGGGAGAACACCCATCGGACCGGGCCGGGCGGCTCCGGGTGAGCCCTCCCTCAGCCCCGCGGGCAGCGCAGCCCCCGCTCCCTGCGGGTGAGCGCTCCCGCAGCCCCGGCTCCCTGCGGGTGAGCGCTCCCGCAGCCCCGGCCAGCCCCGCGGGCAGCGCAGCCCCGGCCCCCTCCGGGTGAGCCCCTCCGATCCCGGCCAGCCCCGAGCGGGGGCCGGCACAGCCCGGGACATGCTTGCTGGACTCCGGGCGCGGAGCTCCCTGCTGAGCCGGACCGGACCGGACCGGACCGCCCGGCTGGCCACTGGCTCCGGCTCCCCACTCACCCGGACCCGCCGGGTGGTCACTAGCCCCGGCTCCCCGCTCACCCGGCTGGTCACTGGCTCCGGCTCCCCTCTCACCCGCACCGGTCCGGACCGGACCGCCCGGGGGTCACCAGCCCCGGCTCCCCGCTCACCTCGGTGGCGCCGAGCCGCGCCCGCACCTCCCGCGCCAGGAAGGGCTCCAGCCCGCGGCCCGCCGTGCAGAAGAACCACCCCGGCTCTGCCGCCGACATCTTGGAGGAGCGGGGCCTGCTGGGGGCGGGGCTCCTGGGGGATACGGGGGCGTGGCCCGCTCGGGGGCGTGGCCTAATGAATCAGTATAATAAATTAAAAATTAACTAAAAAATTAAAAGTAAATTAAAAGCTAATCTAAAAAATCCTAGTTCGCTTCCTACACAAATCCATGCTGTTATTTGATTAACTGCTCTTTTACTCAAACAGGACAGCACAGACTTGAACAGTCTTCTACTTTTGAGAGGTTGCTTTTGCCTTGATTGCCAGCTAAATCCATGTGAGTTTTGGGAATTACCAATGGAGAACAGAGTTTTCATCTGGAGTCTGCAAGTGCAATATGCAATGAGACGGAACTGAAGCATTTGGAGAAGAAACACTCAAGATTCTCATGGAAAAGCTTTCAGCACAAATGTCTGAGAATTACTCATTTAATATTTTCATGCAGTTGTGTGTATTATTCAACAGACAAGACTCAAATAATGTAAAGTGAATGCAAAAAAGGTAATGAAAGTGTAAATTAGCACCCACCCCCTCTTCGTAATTGTATTTAATAAACAGCCAACAGGTGTGAAAACATCAGATTGTATTGTTCTTACTGAGTTGAGTACATTCAAATACAGAAATATTTTCTGGACTGTTTAAAAGCTTAAACAGGAGAAAAATACCAGAAAAATCACCACACAAATCCTGCTTTAAAATTCATCATCTTTAACAATCCAGAAAATTTCATTACAATAGGTTAAAGTTTCTTCTCAAAATAAACTTTAAACATCGAGTTTACAAAGAATTAGGAGCTTGAGCAGAAGCTCATACAATACAAGGGTTGTTCTCATCACCACCATCCACAGGACAGCACAACTAAGTCACAATAGTTCACAATCTAATCCACAATTGTCACAGCTCAGACCTGAGCTTTGGAGTCTGCTGCTAAGTGCACACACACAGCTTTATGTCTCTATGAGCAGGATAAAGCAGATAAATGCATCCCAGTAGACAGAAACAATACAGCCTAAAAGAATTAGTGAATCCCTTCTGGAATCCTAAATAACATTTAAAACTAAACTGAATGAAATTGCTTTAAAATCATGGGCTGAGAGGAATAAGCCTCTTTGTAAGAGTCAGAATTCATTATTATATAAAAGAAACCTGCACACAAAATGAATGATGTCAGTGATGGAAACATACACCAGCAATCCAAATCCCTGCATGACCGAAGATGCCAGTTCACTAACAAATCTGAATTTGTATCTCAAAGAAACATTTACAGTCATACAAATCCATTGCACTAAATCTACGTTCATAATATCGTCATTAAAAAAAAAGTAACAACATAGTATCTAGTGAGTGCATTCAGCTTGGCAATTTTGATTTCAGCCATCTAATTCACACACACATCAGAAATCTTCTCAATCTGCTATAAAACACAAGGAAAAAAGCGAAGCTCTAGAGAGCATGACAAAAGTGTTAAGTCTCACTGAAAAGTGTCATTAAATAAACTTTAGCTTCATCAGAAAAGTTGGAATAGGGTCGGGGTAGGGAGGAAGGATCAAAATTGGAGGGAAAAAAAACAAACAAAGAAGTATAATTTAATCTCAGAATGGTTTACCTTGGAACGGACCTTAAAACTCATCCAGTCCCATTAACCTGCCATGGGAGGGACAAATCCCACTGTCCCAGGCTGCCCCCAGCCCCATCCAGGCTGGCCTGGGGCACTGCCAGGGATCCAGGGGCAGCCAGAGCTGCTCTGGGCACCCTGTGCCAGGCCTGCCCATCCTCACAGGGAACAATTCCTAATTCCCAATGTCCCATCCAGCCTGGCCTTGGGCACTGGGAGGCCATTGCCCTTGTGCTGTCCCTCCAGGCCCGGGCCCCAAGCTGCTCTCTGGCTCACCTGGAGCCCTGCAAGGGGCTCTGCTCTCCTTCTCCTCTCCTCTCATCACCTCCCATCTCCTTCCATCTACTCCCCTCTCCCCGCTCCTTCCTTATTCCTCCTCTCCTCTCCTCTCCTCTCCTCTCCTCTCCTCTCCTCTCCTCTCCTCTCCTCTCCTCTCCTCTCCTCTCCTCTCCTCTCCTCTCCTCTCCTCTCCTCTCCTCTCCTCTCCTCTCCTCTCCTCTCCTCTCCTCTCCTCTCCTCTCCTCTCCTCTCCTCTCCTCTCCTCTCCTCTCCCCTCCCCTCCCCTCCCCTCCCCTCCCCTCCCCGCTCCCCTCTCCTTCCCCTCCCCTCTCCCCGCTCCTTCTCCTCCCTTAGGGCCCGGTCTCACGGCCCCCCCTGGCGGCCCCCGCTCCTTCTCCTCCCTCAGAGCCCGGTCTCACGGCGCCCCCTGGCGGCCCCCGCGCCTTCTCCTCCCTCAGAGCCCGGTCTCACGGCGCCCCCTGGCGGGCCCCGGAGTGTGCAGTGCGCATGCGCGGTGAGCGGGGCCGTTGCCATAGCAGCGGGAGCCAACAGGGAGGCGCCGCCATGAGCCCGCCCGAGGTGGAGCCGCTCGTGTGCCGCAAATACGAGATTAAAAGGCGCCTGGGCAAGGGGGTGAGTGCCTGGCGGGGGCTGGCCTGGGGGAGCCGGTGTGACCTGAGAGAGCCGGGGTGGCCGGGGAGAGCTGGGGTGGTCGCGGGAGCTCGGAGGGCCCGTGAGAGCTCAGGGGGCCCGTGTGGAATTCAGGGCACCGTGAGGGCTCCAGGCGGCCCGAGGGAGCTGAGGGGATGTTTGGGAGTTCAGGCGCCCGTGGGAGCTCTGTCTGTCGCTCAGGGCTCTGTGGAAGCTCCAGGTGACCCAGGGGAACTACGGGGGACTGTAAAAAGTAAATAGTGAAATAGATCTGAGTCTCAAAGTACATTCTCTCTATGCCTGCCAAATCCTTCTACGTTTACTTGTAACCTCATCACTTCAGATCATCATCAAGTCATATCTTCTCCATAGAATGTATTTTTAAACTTAAGCCAATGGCAATTTCTAAGATACGTCTCCTCAGACAGTCTCTAAACCCTCCCGAGTTATCTGCTTTACTATTCTGGCAGGTCTTTGCTATCATTTACTTGAATTGATACGAGTATTTAAGTATTTCCCTCATTATGTTCACAGAGTCAAGGAGTCACTGAGGTGGAAAAGCCCTCTGAGCCTGTGGAGTCCAGCTGCTCCCCCAGCGGTGCCAAGGCCACCACTGACCCCTGTCCCCCAGTGCCATTAAATTTGTTAAATTCCCCAGGGATGAGGACCCCCCCTCTGCCCTGAGGCAGTCTGTGCCAGGGCTGCACAGCCCTTTGCAGAAAAGTTTTTTTCAGTATCCAACCTAAACCTCCCCTGGCACAACTCGAGGCTGTTCTGCAGTTGCCAGCAGGATAGTTCTGTACCCCTTACCTGAGGTACTTTGTACAACTGTTTGTACTGCCTGGTGGGGGGGAAGGACCACACATGTTACTGAGAAGCCTTCTGGATGTCCTTACATGAGTTTTTAATCACTAGGATCATACATTGCTGCTCTTTTGATTTGTACAAGTATTTAAACAGTAAATGGGCATTTCTGAGCAGGATGTGATCCCTTTGTGTAAAGGTAAAGCAGCTCTACACCTA